GATAACGCACTGATCGTTATGTCAGAGAGAATTATAGCGGTATAGTGACATAAATCAAATTCAATGCCCTATCGTTCTGTGCAATATGTAACATTTGTGAGTTCAAAATTAAAAAAAGATGTAAATTAAGTAACATTTCCCTGTTTGATTTTTATATTTGCTGTTGTAATTTATTGTCTTTTGTTTGCGATCGCACTAATGTGTTTTTTATTTGCATGTACAGCACTTTGGCTCGACCAAAAATCGTTTTTTCAAAATGTCCTATATAAATAAAACCTGATTTTATTTGATTTAAATGGGGGAAAGCACGGACATATGGAGACCATGTTTCGCAAAAAAATGTTTTATGGCTAAAGGTTGAGCCTTGAACGTGATGTTAACGTTAAAGCTAATAAAGAATGAGCGGAATCTGTAAATACATTGAAATGTTTAGAGGAACCTCGTGAAAGAAAGATTAAACAATGCAATTGTTTATCCGTTTTCCTAATAATTACATTGGAAACCATCTGGTTAGAAAAGAAGTGTATGCGTGTGTTGCAAGAGTGTAATGATTACTTTAGTCTAAGTTGCAACATGTTTCTCCAAACCATTTTTTTTATTGGTGTTTTTTTAAACGTGTGTGCCTGTGTGGTTTCTAAGACCAACCTGCAGCAGAGCAGACCACACTAATGGTAGTTATAAAACTAGATCTACATAAAGTTTAATTATTTTAAAAGATCCTCCCTTTCCTGTGTTTATCCATTAGGGCCTCAATGTGGGGCTAAATGTAGCAGAACTCGTTTGAATGACACTGGAAACACTTTGCACTGCACAGTAATCCTTGTAGCTCCCTAGTGTTAATCCATGCTGATAGTCAGCAGCTCATTTAGGAGTGAAAAGGTCCTCCACTGGAGTGCTTTCAGGAGGGACACTCGCTCAGTGATTTATTTTTTGGGCTTGCTAATAGGCATTGTCCTTTTTCTTTTACTTCCTGCCAGTCCTGCCTTTTGTCTCTTATCAATCCCCGCTGCACGTCACCCACCCCTTCACTTTGCTGTAGTCAAATCATCAGAGGGAACTTGCTGTGGCCATTTTCCTCTGTGTGCCACAGCAGAGCCCCAACCAGACTTTACTGCATTCAACCATCACTGCAGTGAGAGCAGGAAATCCCAGAAGTCATTCACGCGGCATATTGCTTCCTATCTCGTAGCCAGAGAAAGTTCCATAGACTGGCGCCAAGTTGGATTTACAGACTAGTGAGCCTTCCCCCCTTAGTTTAAAAAGAAACCCTCTCAATGATTTCTTCTTCACAAAATTCCTTTCATGATTTCTGTCATTAAGCTGATTTTAAACAATGTCAATCATTCCCCCCCCC